AGATCCTGTTGCTTTTGAGCCTATTTCATGGCAAAATTTGGCAGTGGGATCATGTGACTGAGGAAGCTGTACATCACAGGAGTCTCAATATCCCCTTCAGGGGCATACCAACAATGACCTAACTTCCTTCTACAGCCCCCTCCTCTTTTTTCTTAATTTATCGTGGGGAGTGTATGTTCATTTGTGTGCACACACATGTGAATGCTGTGCATGTGTACAAAAAAGTGGAGACCAGAGGTTGATGTTGAGTGCCTTTCTTAATAGCTCCCCACTTACTCTTGGAGAGAGGATATCTCTGAAGCTGCTGCTCACTGATTAAGCTAGGCTGGCTGGCCAGCCAGGGAGCTCCAAGGATCTGCCTGTCTCTGCCTCTTCAGCACTGGGATTATAGATGTGCACTGCCACACCAAGCTTTTTACATGGATGCTGGGAATCCAAACTCAGATCCTCATGTTTGTGTGGCAAGCACATTTCCATCCAAAGCCATCACTCCAACCCTTCTGCCCACTCCCTATTAAAGGTTCCACCATTCCCAGTAGTACCACAAGCTGGTGACCTAGTCTTTAACACATGGGCCTTTAGGGAACACTTATCCAAACCACAGAGCTACTTTAAATGTAAAAGTTCATTTTGATATTTTAAAAAGTAATTTGATCACTTTTGGAATATAAGCAAGAACAAATTATCTCAAACATCTGTAAATAAGGTGATAAGTCAAATATTTATCCTCCCATCCCCATATAAACTTTGTCATTAACTAGATAAAATATAAAAAGGAAACATTTTTCTTTTCATATGCATTTTTATTTATGAGGGGCACGTATTGCCAGGGTGGTCATGTGGAGGTCAGGGGACAACTTGCAGGAGTCAGTTCTCTTTCCACAATGTGGATCCCAAGGGCTGAACTCTGGTTGTCAGGTTTGACAGCAGGCATCTTTACCTGCTGAACTATCTTGCCAGCCCAGGAATCATTTCTTTATCAAAATATTCTGACCAGTAATCATAAAAGCAAGGATAGAATGCTCCAATTCTGCAACATCCAATGAGTTATATAGATCTAAACAGGGCACATAAATGATTCCTAACAGTATGAAAATAAAACCAGCCCAGATATATTGTGTCCTTGGATGAATCAACACCTGACCTCTACTCACACCAAAGCACTAAACCTCAGTCAGATCAAGTCTCTGCAGCAAACAAACTGCTTAGTAAATACAAACCAGCAGAATGTGCCAAATTTGACCATGAGGACAAAATCCACAAAATCTGGACTGTAGAAAGCTATAGGAACTAAATAACCCAGATTCCTCAATGGAGAAATTGTAGCAAAAAGAAATGCATGTTGAAGGTGAATTAAAAGATGTATCAGAGGCCAGTGAGATGGCTCAGTGGGTAAAGGTGCTTGCCACCAACCTTGACAACTTGAGTTCGATCCCTGGGACCCATATGGTAGGAGAGAACCAACTCCCACAAGTTGTCTTCTGACTACCTACAAGCTGTGACACATGCACCACACACATATATGCACACACACACACACACACACACACACGTTAAAAAATAAATACGCCGGGTGTGGTGGCACATGCCTTTTGTCCCAATCTGGCTGCTCTTACAGAGGACCTGGGTTTGATTCCCAGCACTCAGAGGGTGGCCAACAACCATCTGTAATTCCAGTTCTAGAGGAATCTAGTGCCCTCTTCTGACCTCCAAGGGCACTGTACAACACAGGTTCATTCACATACATGCAGGCAATACACTCATATACAAAAAACAAAAGTAAATTTAAAAAATTTTAAATGTGAATTAAGTTTTTAACAAAGAAATAGTGTTTCAGAGGCTGGGGTAGAGTACTTCCCTAGCCCTGGATTTTGATCCCTATCAAAAAAGCATGCATCCAGTGGTTTTCAATGGATATGTCTAAACTGTAGACACTAGGGATGCACACTTGAGTGAAACAAAAATAAAGAACTCAATGCAAATGCTAAAGAATTCAATAAGCAGAATTACTATTGGAGTTATTGGAGATGGGACCGGGAAAATTTCTTTCTTGATTTGGTTAGTGTGTCCAAGGGAATTTGTCTATGATGATTTGTTAAGTTACACAACCATTTCCTTTGGTTTTCTCTACCTGAATAATAAGAAGAAAAATCCTATTAAGAATATATTTTTAAAAGAAAAATAATATATTTTTAACCTGAATGTTTAACTGAAAAGCAAACAAGTTACAGAATTATATTTGTTGTGTGATTCAAGTTTTATTAAAAAATGGGGACTATAGACATCCAAGGTTAGTGTTCTTGACTTTGATGTTTGTGATATTTGTTAGGGCAATCAAGAGGAGAAATCAAGTTATATTTATGGATACTTACACATATAATTTGCTTTACTTTTCTCTTTGAAATTATTTCAAACGTAAAGTAGTCACATATACAGTACAAAACTTCCTACAGATCCTTAACTCAGATTCTGAGTCATTGATTAGGCCAGAGAGGTGACTCAGCAGGCAAACATGCTTACCTCAAAGTTTGATGACATGAGTTCAATCCCTGAGATCTACCTGGTAAAAGGAGAGAAGTGACTATCAAAAGTTATCCTCTGACCTCCACACGCACACTATGGCACCCACACCTACACACTTGCACACGTGAACACAAAATAAATAAATGAAAATGTAACAAAATGTTTAAATTAATAAAACAGAAGAGTTCAGCACACCTGTTCTCTCTTTCCCTCATCCCGTTTGACAGTTTGTTGAAGACACTATGTACCTTTATTCCTAAATGTTTGTTCATTTATTTCCTAATAAACATATTTACATAAAAGTATAGCTACTATTTTTATACAGAAGCATATAATTATTTTTCTTGAAAATGTACAGGGATTTCGTATCAAATTAGATAAAGGATATGGAAACACTATATTTATTCAAGGTGTATGACTGTTTTGCCTGCATGTATGTAAGTGTACTACATGTGTGCACTGTCCTCAGAGACCAGAAGAGGGGGTTGTAAGTTACAAGCAGTTTTTAGCCACCGTGTGGGTATGGGGAACTGAACCCATATCCTCTGCAGGAACAGCCAGTGCACACATACATACAGAGCGAAAGACGGGGGCTGGGAGGAAGACTGACTGCTTCTCTGACTGGAGAGATGGCTTGTCTAGATAAAAGTACTTGCTGCTCAATCCTGAGGACTGGGATTTGAATCCCAGCTTGCAAGTATCAAGCCAGGCATCCTGCATATGCATATAATCCCAGTTTAGAAGGGGTTAGAGACAAGAGGATCACAGGGGCTTTCTAGCATCCAACCTAGTTGAGAAAACACCAGCAAAGGAATAGGTAGAGAGTGATGGAGGAGGACATCTATGTACATACACTCACATAGACACATGTACACACAAATAAATCTTTTTATTCTGAGTCCTCAAAAAAAAAAAGCAGCCTCTTTTCAGAGCTCTTTATAAACACACTTGTAAAGAATTTGTGGACTATATCCATTTTTTAACAAAGAAAAGTGAAACCTGTAAATAGTTTAAAATCTTGATAGTGTTTTCAAGAGTTTGATATATCTGGGCTTAGACTATTTTTATGCAGAATGTGTCTTGCCAGAAAATTGGGGTTTGTTTCCCATACTCTGCAATCCATAAGTTTCAGTCAACTTGGGAAGCATTGGATGAACTAGTCACTTCAAAAGGCACAGTAAAGGTACTAATTTCCAAAAATACCAGTTGCTAAACTGTTAAACTGAAATGCATGAACTCTAACCATTGTTCTGTAAATTCAAGTGTATAAATAAGGAGGTGCTGGGAAATATAGCCCAGTGCTCACCTAGCAAATATAGCTGGGAAATGTAGTCTAGTGCTTACCTAGCAAGAGGCCAGGCTTCTATACCCAGCAATGCAAAATAAAACAAGTATATTAATTCGAAACTATAAATAAGCTGGAGAGATGGCTCAGCAGTTAAGAAAACTGGCTGCTTTAGCAAAGAACCTGGGTTTGCTTCCCAGAACCCACATGGTGGCTAACAACCATCTGTAACTCCAATTTCAGGGAATCTGATGTCCTCTTCTGACTTATGCAGGCACCAGGCATGAACATGGTACACATACATACATTCAGGCAAAACATGAAATAAAAATAAATATTTTTTAAACTATAAATACAATTATTATCAAGAATGCATGGGAGGGTGGAGAAATGGCTCAGCAGTTAAGAGCATTGGCTGCTTCTGCAAAGGACCTGGATTCATTTCCCAGTACCCACAGAGCATCTAACACCAGTCATTAACCGCAGTTCCAGGGGATCAAATCCCCTCTTCTGGCCTCTCCAGGCATTGCATGCATGTGGTGCACTTAGATACACACAGGCAAAACACTCATACACATAAAATAAAAAATTTTTTTATAAAGAATACATTAGAAAAAAAGGCTTCCCAGCCCCATTGCTTCACATTCTAAAAACAAAACACTCTTGGGGTGGAGTGCGCGCACAGGAGTGTGCAGGTGTCTGTTTACACAGTGGAGGCCAGAGTAGGATGTAGGGTATCTTCAATACTCTCCACCTTATTTTTGGAGACAGGATCTCTCACTGAAGCTAGAGTTCACAGATTGGCTAGACTGGCTGGCCAGAGAGATCTCAGGATCTGCCTGTATACCCTCCCACCCCCCAAAACTGGGGCTGCAGGTACCTGTAGCCACCCCCTGCTTTTTATGTGATTGCTGGGGATTCAAACTCAAGTCCTCAAGCTTGCAAAGCAAATGCTTTTGCACACAGAGCCATCTCCCCAACCCCAAAACTTTCTTCCTTTAAAACGTCGTGATGTTGTGTGGCATTATTAGATGTCATTCGATTTTAACCTGTATGTGCATTGGAGTTTATTGTAACCAGAACCTGCCCCTCCAAGGTAACCAAGTTTGGAGATGCTATAAAGAAGAGATTGGTCCTCCACCACGTTGAGAACTGCCTACCAGGTGTTTACCACCTGTGTGTCTGCCCACAGGTGAGCGAGATGGAAGTGAATGGGCAGTTCGAGTCCGTGTGCGAGTCAGTGTTCAGCGAGCTGGAGTCGCAGGCCGTGGAAGCTCTGGACCTGCCCATGCCTGGCTGCTTCCGCATGCGGAGCCACAGCTACGTGCGGGCCATCGAGAAGGGGTGCTCCCAGGATGACGAGTGCGTGTCCCTGAGGTCGTCCTCCCCTCCGCGCACCACCACCACCGTGAGGACCATCCAGAGCAGCACCGGTGAGTGAGTGCCTGCGTCTGCCCCAGCCTGGCCACAGTGCCGGCTGCGCACAGCCGTCCCAGAATCGGACGTCCTTGCTGTAGTCACACGGTTGACAGTCACAAAATACCCAAAGCAAAGGCTTTGCACAGGGACAACTGCAGCTATAGCACCGTGGGAGGGAGAACGGCACAGCTCAGCATCCCTGAGGAGGCATATTAACCCTGCCCCACTCACACTCCCAATAAGTAAACTGACTTTTAGGGCAAGGACGAAAAACGAACCAGACGTCTGTTCTCGGGTCTCACAGAATCACAGTGCTTTCTTAATTCCAAGATAATGACAGCGAGACTCTTCCAGGAGACCTAAAATAATCCTGTGAAAAATAAAAAGGCAAAGAAATGAATGCCCAGATATTAACTGGACATTTGAGTTTTATTTTAACGGAACCCAGATTTATACCATTAGTTTAAACCCCGGCAAAAACCCCGGCATATATACATAGTACCTCCTTTTCCCTCTAAATTTTGATTTTGCAGTTGAACTGTATTATTAGTAGATTTTAGGTGCAGAGGCCCAGAAGAGCTTAACTAGTTTCCATGGCACCAAACCTGCATGGTAATACAACCTTGAGTGATGCATGATTATATAAATATAACAGTTGAGCTCCAAGAAGAAAATCCACCCATCTTAACTGGGCTTAGGTTTATGATTAAATTCAGCATAACTCCAATCAAGTAATTCTACATGAGCATCATGAAACTTAGATAAATAATGATGAATAAATTAGAAAAGCCTGCCCAGAATTACTCTGTTTTAGTTCTAGGGGCATCAAATGTCAGCAATAGCCTGGCATGGCGGAGCATGCCTATAATCCCAACTTGGGAAGCTGAGGCAGGAGAATTATGAATTTGAGTCCAAGACCCCACACTAAGACCTGTCTCAAAAAGAAAGCAAAGCAAATTAAAATGTCAGTAGTTATCATTCAGCCTAGAATTCTTGTAGGCTTGAATGGTAAGTATTCCAAAAAGTCTACTAACTAGAGATAAGAGATGAAGTAAAAAATTTCTAAAACCTGTAGATATTAAAGATTCTTGACCACTGCAAACTGAGGCCACAGAGTTAGGCAAAGGAATACTTTCAATACCAGTAGCTCCACAGCTATGACCCTGACTGTTCATATCCAGACCGAAAATAGTGGATATAGATATACCATCTTGCTGACTAAGAACTTGTCCCAGAGCGATCTCAGGGGATATTCATGAATTAATTAAAGTGATGGCTGAAGGGATAAAAGTATGTTTTTAGAGAGCAACCGTGGCGTATTTCTGTGACTTGGCGATCATGCAGTAAGTGTGGCTTTGAGGTCAGCTCTGTCTATAGATTGTCACTGTCTGTCTGCTGGTGTTCCTCATTCTGAGCCCTTGCCCTCCTCACAACCCTTCCAACATGTTGGGTCCAGTCCTCTCCAATGACCACATTGCCTGCCAACCGAGATTGCTCCTTAAATACAAAAAGTTCAGAGCCTAGCCCATAGGGGGTTGGGAGCTGAGGAAGAACACCCTGGGGGAGGAACAAAGGAAGGAAAGGCCTTTTGGCTTGCCCTTCGCCCTTGGGGGGTGGTACTGGGGATAAAGTGACAGGGCTTTGCCCTGCTTATCTCTCCCAACATTCTGTGGCTTCTGTCATTAGGAGACAATTATTTACACTTCCCACACCTGTTCTGGTTCTCAGTGCACTCCAAAAACCCTCACAGACCTTCCCAGCTCTCTCTCTCCAGAATCTCTGGAGGCCCCAGACTTTAGACAATAGGATTGTCAAATAAAATCTGGGTTTATCAGGGAATTTCAAGTAAATAGCAAATAATTTTATAAGTAACCCAAATACTGAATAGGAAATGATACTAAACTGTGGGATCTGTGACATGAAAAGAAAATAATGAGACCCAGCCACATGTTAAAAACAAGACAAGCAAAGCCTCTTTATCAGGACTTCAATTCACACTGGCCTGTTTCTGCCAGATGGACCAGGGATGACCAGGCTGTTTGCCTGAACAAAGGAAGTTTCCGACTTTTATTTTTTTTTTCAGAGTGGGTTGAAGTTTAGTAATGGTATATTGGTTATAAGCACAGTTTCAAGTAATATTTTCCTTTTTGTCTGCAAGTATTCTGCCCTTGAGATTTGCAAGCTAACAAGAAGCGACTTAAAACAGGACCTCCTGAGTTCCATCAGCTGTTGACACCATCATCTTGCATAAATGCCCTGGTTCATAAATGCTCTTATGGTTGGGGCTACTGATAGAACTAAAGGACTCTCGGGGACTGTGAAGTTCCTCCTCATGCTTGCATAACCCTTCTGGCCCCATGGCTTGGTAGAGCATTATGAAAAGGCTAAGGGATTGTAGGTGCTTGAACTGGCAAGAAAGCAGGACAAGATGGAGTAGACACACCCACTCTAATGGGCAGTAGACAAAATTCACCCTGTGCATTATAATCTTGGACAAAACATTTCACAAATGATCAACATGGCTACATGCAGAACTAAGTAGAGGCTAACCCAAAGGTTGGAGCAACAAAGGGGCCAGACATAATCTGAAAACAAGGGAGCCTCGTCTTTTATCCCCTTTTAGTCGAACATCAGATAGCCATAGGCTCTAGGAAACAGTGGTTTTAGCAAAAGCAGCCTCCAAGTTTCTGAGATATCACCTAGATACTGTCATAATACACGTCAGAGGCATTATCTCCAACAAGCCAACTGGAAGGTGATAATGCATTGCTCAGCCATGTGACCTCCAGCGTTAGTGATTTCCAACTCAGCTACTAGCAAATGCTGTGAGTCTGCTCTGGCAAGTTGGGTGGATTATCTGAACGGATTCTGGAGTGCTACCGGGGGCATTTATGGGATGAGGTTTTTATTCTTGGTAGCAGTTGCCCTCTTTGTTGCTTATGTACCATCTTAAAGCCTACTAGTTTTAGCTTGGTCATAAGGGGCTCTCTGCTTCTTAGTTTTGATTGTCAACTTCGCACAAATCAGAGTCATCTGAGAAGACAGAAGTCTCAATTGAGGAATTTTCTAGATCAGGCTGGTCTGCGGGTATGTCTATGAGGCATTGTCTTGATTACTGATTGACTTGTGAGGGCTCAGCCCATGTGTAACCACGCCATTCCTTGGGCTGGTGGTCCTGGGCTGTATAAAAAAACTAACTAAGCAGGAGCCAGGGAAGAGGCAGTAAGTAGCATTCCCCCATGGTCTCTGCTTCAATTTCTCCTTCAGGCTCCTGCCTTGAGTTCCTGCCCTGACTTCCCGGAATGGTAGGTTGTGACCTAAAAGTGTGAGATGAAATAAACCATTTCCTTTCCAAGTTGCTTTTGATCATGATGTTCATCACAGCAACAGAAAAGTAACTGATAGAGGCTCCAGCGCATAAACATTCTGGCCTTGCGGCCTAATCTAGTGTTTGAGGACCAAGCTACGGAAGCATCTTTGGATGGAGGACAGGTTAAGAGCCCACAGTTTGTCTCTTGCTTCCTTGACGTGATCCCTGCCTGCCTCAGGAGATATTTATACTATGACAGTATCTGAAGTGTTTAGAGTTTCTGCTAGAATCCAACAAGCCTATCACGCGATGAGTGGAGCCTAGGAGGATGTCCTCTGTTGTCCCATCTAGACTTTGAGTTCAATCTGAGGGCCTTTAACAGGAAGCCCTATACAGAAGACCTCCCAACTAGGTGAACAGAAATGAAAAGCACATGAAGACAACCGCAACCTCTCCCTGCGCCCCATGAGCCCTGTCCTAAGTATCAGCTGCATCCACCTGTGGCTGCGTGGGTAGGACAGCTCCAGGCTCTGTGATTTGCTCCAGGTGAGGGAGGAGTGCTGAAGTATAGATGCCAGGTTTTCACACAAGGCAGCCATTGGGCTCGCTCTTAATCATCAAACTAAACATTATGCTTCATTATATTTACAATCATGGAAAAAATAATTGTAAGTAATCACTATTACAGAGGATTCTGGGTAAATCTATCAGATGTTTAAGAATGCAGCATTAAAAAAATCCAAGTATTTCAGAGGCTGGAGGGATGGGTGGCTCAGTGGTTAAGAACACTTGCTGCTCTTGCAGATGAACAAGGTTTGGTTCCCAGCACCCACAAGGCAGCTAACAACTGTCCTTAACCCTGATTCCAGGGAATCCTACACCCTCTTCTGGCCTCTATAGGCACAGGCACACATGTGGTGCATATACATATATATATATATATATATGGCAAAACACTCATACACATGAAAAAATAAATACTTTTCTTTTAAATACCAGCATCACCTTCAACAGCCTCTACAGCACAGACTTGTTCTTTCTAAAAGAAAGTCCATAATTTATATGATAAGGCTCTTTGCACTTTGTTCTCCTCTTTCCGTCCCCATTTCCTCTCTTTCTCAAAACCATCATATTACTTTTTGTATCATTTTTTCCTGTTCCTGGCTTCCTTCTCAAATTGAAGCAAATACAGTTTCCTGTAGAAAATACAGAAAATCAATTCACATAGAGTTTACTAATTTTTGAAAGAATGCAGTTATCTATGGACCAGGGATGACTTCCCCCTGGTGTGACTGTTTTCTCTATACACACTCGCCGAATCACTTCAGGTTTAGCAATCTTGAGGGAGAGTTCTCCTCTGGCTTCTCTTCCTTTGCTCTTTATTCTTCGACACTCGAAACAGATTCTGTATTTGCTTCCGGTCCTCTGTCCTGAAGAAACTCATTTTTGTCAGCTGCTATTACTGGTTGTAATTTTTCACCATAGCAGTCTACATGCTAAGACTTCGATTTGTATGTCTTAGCATTTCCAACAAAATATACTCCAATCTTTTCTCTTCCAGCCTTGACCTTTATTCATATTTGCTATACCAAGTCATAGACAAAAGCCCACAAAAGTTTCTTATGCCACATGAGAGAACCATGCACATGGGATCAGCTGTAAATGGTGGCAGGAACCTTCTAGATGCTATGAACAGGAGAGAGAGGGTGAATAAAGATGTCTGCACAGAATCAGAGCAATCAGGGAGTTAGTGACTGATCCTTACAATTCCAGTGATTTATTTACTTTTATAGCTTATCTGTGATAGATCTTAATGTCTTCTGAGCCATAATCTCTTTAATCACCCAGATCATTCTTCATCCAATAGAATCAAAAAACTTCTAATGACTACATATTTGCAGGATAATGTGTAGTGTTTTGCTAAGTGTACATATTGTCTCATGATCAGAGACAATTAACATCTCTATCAATTCCAAATTTTATCATTTCTTTGTGATAAGAATATGCAAAAGCTTCCCTCTACCAGTTTAGAAGGCTACAATACATTGCTGTTACCTGTT